TTGTGTATCTGTGCAGAACATGAACCATGGCTGGGCGAGTTTAGGCCACTTCCACGACAATGACCCCGGCGAGTCGTAGACATCCCATTTGTGCCAAAATGATGTCCTCGCGTATTCTGACTTTTCGAGTAACGTCCAGTTGACATCGTTCGACATTCCGCTCAAGCTCGAGTCCTGTGGGCACTGTATCCAAACGAAGCCACAGCAAGTGAACGTGGGTAAAATTGATACTTCAACGCGTTGCATGACTGGCGTCACCGTTTCTTGGTCCGTCGAGCGGAAATCACGAGATGACAGATTGTCCAAGCCACGACTGACCTTGAACGAGTAAAAGCGGACCGATACGACTAGACTGTGACTTGGACGGCGGCCTGATGATGTGCTTATGCAGACTTGAATCCTGGATCCCAGCGGCTCGACGACACCGTTTCATTTCCCGAAAGCACATGACCGGACATAGTTACCCTAGATCGGCCCCACACGAAGTGCCACAATCAAATTCATGGGTTTATCAGACGCAGTAGTAAGCGATAAGAAGCTTGCCGTACCACACCGGACAGCGGTACTTGTAGTGGCCGAAGACCAACAGTGTCGAAGTGAGCGAAACAAAGAGGAAGACTAACGATACCCGAGCATGGACGTCCATCGACAAGGCTTCGCTGCGCCCGGACACGAATGCAAGCACCATGGGAAGTCCCAACCCCGAGCAGTATGTTGAAAACTGGGCCAGCAAAACATCCGGCAATAGCCATTTGCGAAAACCCAGCGCGAGCCACGGACACGTCCGTGATGAGATCGCCTACCGAATTCCCCCATGCAAGCACTGTCAGTTCCACGAAGCTGTTGCTGACATGCGTGATATAGCCCACTGCAGCCAGCAACGCCATCAGCTCATTCGCCACGGCATAAATCCAGCACACGCAAGCCACAAATGCCAGGGAAAGTAGTAGGCTCGACGATTTGAATGAACGCGGCGCATGCGACCGGTGCGTACAGAGCGCGACGATGCCACCTACAAAGCCACCCCACGATCGTGGAGTGCTTGCCACAGCGGTACGCGGAGCGAGAATCTTCCGCCACAGATATCAACGTTGGCGTATCCGCTCATTGCTGCGACTAGTAGCGGAGCTGTTGTAGGCGATAGACACGCTCTCGGACGCGACCATGACTCATCATCGAAGAGAGGAATGGTGATGTCTCGGACAAGAAAAGTGCCGCTTGTGGGATGCAAAGCACTTTCACCACAAGCGGCTTGTCGCTCGTAAATATCCGAACGACGCGACGCTTCAAGCGCCATCTCCAGCGCATGTGCTGCTGCCACTTTGGAAGCATTTGCTTACCATCATCAACGGCATCGCGCTCGCTTTCGGCCATGAGCGGAGACGACAACGACTCACTCTCGTCAACGTCAAAGTGGTCATTATACACTCGACTGGAAAACCTGGGACCTGCCAATGGACCAAACGAAGACATCCCGAGTTTCTCAAGCTCCTGCGGCATCCCTGCACGATAGCTATCCGCTACGCTCTCGGTATCTGGCTCAGCATTGGACCCCGTCACAAATGCATATTCGTGCTCAGGCTGCCCAGGCCTCTTCACTCCTTTTGCATCATTCCCTCTTGGCGAGAGCGCGTGCCAAAACGCTTTGATCATCAGCGTTGACTTGCCTACCAACTCGTCGCCACGAATATCGTTGGGAGCTGCTTTGTACCTCGCCACACAGGCTGAAAGGACGACACTGCCGACGTATGTCCCGTACAACGCCAACAGCGTGACAGCTGACACTGCTGTACTCCACATATCTTCCTTTCCGCTGCGTACAGCGAGCAGGAGGAACAACAGCAGCGAGGTGAGGAGCGCCCCCACGTCGCGTAGAAACGCCCAGCGCTGCACCTCTACGGCACTAGCCATGGCTACGCCGCCTACGACGACCGTGGAGACGAACATCGCTCCTCCTAGTAGCTCATTGATCCCTGTCTCACTCACACCAAAGCCGTACGCTGCAATAGCTGAAAACACGTCAGGTGCTCCGTTGCCAAAGGCCAGGAACGTGACACCCGCAACATCGTGAGGAAGCCGGAGGCGATCACTGAGAGTTGCTAACGTTGGCGAAAAGTAGCCATCCGCTGTACTGCCAACTACAACATATAATAACGGGATAGTAAGTCAGTCTCACGGATCAAATAGAGTGCCGTAATAGAAATAGAGAGGGTGCCACTCTATTCCTATTCGCAAGAGACGTACGGAAGTAAAAGAGCGCGGCGAGCCATACGATCAATAGTGAGAACGAAAGCAGAGGCAGATCGTATAGTGAGCAGTAGTGGATGTGGACGTAATCGATTGCAAGAGGGCCAAGCGTCATGTTCGCTACGAACGGGTGGTCACTGCACGCCGCTGGGCGCAAGAGCGTCGTCGACATGACAGAATTGTGATGTAATCGCACGATTGCGTCTTTCGTACCCCATGGAATCGCTGCGGTTGTACCCCGTGAGCGAACTTAGTGTGCCACTACAATTCGCACTTAGTTTGCTGAGCGCGGTAAGCTGCTTTTTGGTCAGCGTAATTAGCTGATTAGCCTAGTTGCTCTGGCACCAGGTTGGACCTATACGGGCGAAATACTTGCTCAATTTTTGTCTCTTAATAAAGCCGAGTGTCAAAAAAGCAAGCCGAGTCACAAAAACCGGCAGGCAACGAACGCACGACGTCGTTATCATGAGAGAACTATGACGTCGAAAAGAGCAGCTAGGTTTGAACGACGGAAGCTATCCCTGTGTTGTGTTCGTGTTGGAGTACTCTATACGAATAAATCGCAAGTTAGAGAGACTGCTTCTGGACTCGATCCAATCGACTGCTGCTGGATTAGCCTTATTCCGGAAGTCGAGGCACAAAACTCCCACGATTGGCGCTGAAGCGTCGCGCTTCAATTTGGGTAAACTCACCTTCTCCGTTACGCATGAGTCTGTACTTGTTCTCGTTAACGTATCTGGACGAAGGAGAATGTAGTCAACCAATCAGTTTGCCATATGCGGCTTCATAAACCAGTGAATGCAACCCCAGCTTCAAGGTCGGGAACCCGATGCACTCATAAGTGACTAACTATCGCGCGCACGACGACTGATATACCCTGTGGATCATTAAAAAATGATCCAGAAGTATGCTGGTCGTCGTCCGCGCGACAAAAGCACAGTGTGTACCTACAGATAGCAGCAAACAAGTCGAGCGTGGTGGGCAGGCAGCGAGATCCATTCAATGGCTCTGACACCACATTGCAACAAAAGAAAGCTGTCGCGCAGATGTAGATGTAACAGCCATGTCCCTCGATGATGAACAGGTGGGGCCAAGTGCGACCACAGCAACTTTTTGCACAGCGTCTATCCTACTTGACACTCACAGCGAGAGTGAGACTTCAAGTCATGGGAACAACGGTAGCTGCGTGCTCGGCGCTGTACAAGCAGACTGATCATAGCCTCTGCTGATCAATCCTCATCCCACAGCCAAAAATTTCCGAAGATATCGCTCCTTTTCTTGCACCACGAGACATGCCTACGACTCACTCGTCCGTGTAGAAACAGTCAAGCCTGGCCTTGAGTTGCCAGTAGCTCGTGGAGACCAGCACTCTAATCCTGCCTTGCTTAGAAACGTTGATTTCTAACGAGAAGTCGACCCACGCCACTCCCTCCCTAAACCGATCCCTCACTCCACCAGCGTCTGCAGTAGCCACCCAATGGCTCCAGGACGCGGTAGTAGTAGCGGCGGCGGTGGCAGTGGCGCTGGCAGTAGCCGCAGTGGACGTGGCGGTCGTGGCGGTCGTGGCGGTCGTGGCAAAGGGAAAGGACGAGGACGTGGACGAGGCGGACCAAGAGGGAGCTACGGCTGGTACCATGAACCCATCACGAGTCTCGACGAGAGCTTCTGCATGTCGATCCACAAGGCGCTGCAGTCGCTTGTCGACGACGGCGAGCGCGCGGAGCTGAGCTTCCCGTCGACGTACGACAACACGCAGCGTCGCTATATCCACATGATGGCTGAGAAGTACGGTCTCTTCTCGAAGAGCGCCGGCAGGAAAGGAGACGGTCGCTTCATCCACGTGGCGTCCGTGAAGAAGAACGCCGCGATGGAGAAAGTGTCGTTGCGTCTGCACCCGACGCCTCTGAACCCAAAGATGGACGAGTGGTATCCACTCGAAGTGAAGCAGTACATGGCGACTTATCCGTCTCCTTCGCTGGAAGACGAGGGAGCAGTGGATCCATGGGGGGGCAAGACATTTACGCCACTGGGGGTCGCGCCTATGCAACATCGCGGTCGAGAGGCGTTGTTTAGCCACCTGCCGAGCCGTGGCAGTCAGAACGGACCAAAGATCGTGCGGACTCCACTTGTTGAAGTGACAAAGCTGCCGGTGTATCAATATCGTGAGCAGATACTGAACCTTGTAGAGGAGAATCAGATTGTGGTACTGTCAGCAGATACTGGATGTGGAAAATCAACGCAGATTCCGCAGTTCTTGCTGGATGATGCGTTAGCAAGAGGACGAGGCAAGGAAACGAGAATCATTTGTACTCAACCACGACGAATCAGCGCAATGTCCCTCGCGCAACGAGTGGCAAGTGAACGCCCAGGACAGAGCTCCAAAGAAGTGGGGTATGCGATTCGATTTGATTCGTCGTTTGATGCCAAGCAGTCCAAGCTCATCTTCTGCACGACAGGCACGCTGCTCAAATGGCTTAACAATGACCCATCGTCGCTCGGCTTTTCGCACATCATTTTGGACGAAGTGCACGAGCGGGACATGTTTACTGATTTCTTGCTTATTCTGATCAAGACATCTATTCTTAAGCAGAGACCGGACCTCAAGGTGATTCTCATGAGCGCGACGATCCAAGTGGGAAAGTTCTCGCAGTACTTCCAACCAGAATTTCATCCGCCGATACTCCAGATGGTGGGAGGCACTAACTATCCAGTGTCTACGCTTTTTTCTCGAAGATATTCTAGCACTACTGAAGATCGACCGCACTTCGTCGCTGCCAATTATGGACGATTCGCAAAGTGGTCTTACCGGAGATGGGTCCATAAGCCAATCAGGAGCACCGGCTGTGGATAACATGCTAGTATGTTCATTATGCGGTTGTGCGAGTTTCGAAGATGAAGAGGCGTTCGGCATGCACGTAGCGACTTGCTTTGGCAAGCCAAGTGCTGATTGTGAAGCACCGCGTACTCCCAAACAGGACACTGCCCCATCAGCAGTGCCTGTTTCTGCTATGGGAGATTTTCTGCAAGCCGCACTGCGTGGAATAAAACAGAAAGCGAAGAATGCCGCACTTAAATCGTATACGAAGCAGTACGATGCGCTGCAACAGGACCAGACCATCGACTACAATCTGTTGCTACAGCTGCTTTTCCTGATAAACCGCATGTTCCCGCTCGGTGAAGATGGAAAAGGAGCTATTCTGGTATTTCTTCCTGGCTGGGAAGAAATCTCTTTCATGGAGCAATCTCTTCTCAAGTCAGAAGCAACATCAGCAACCTACGAGATTGCTCTTCTTCACTCGCGTTTGGCACCCGAGGAACAGCGTCGCGCATTCATGACACCACCGCCTGGAAAGCGGAAACTGGTGCTGGCTACCAACATCGCCGAAACCAGTCTTACTATCGAAGATGTGGTGTTTGTCGTGGACTGTGGCAAATCCAAGCAGACGCACGCGCTTGCTGCAACTTCGGCCTCATCTTTTGTGATGGGTTTGCAAACTACGTGGATTGCACGGGCAAATTGCGTGCAGCGCATAGGTCGCGCTGGTCGTGTTCGTGCGGGTGTTTGCTTTCGCCTTTTCTCGAAAACTCGATACGAGACAGCGATGAAAGAGTATATGCCTCCACAGTTGCTTACCAATCCGTTGGAAGAGCTGTTGCTGCAAATTATGCTTCTTCAAATGGACAAGAAGCTCGATAATAGCAGTGCCAAGGCGTTCCTTCTCGAAGCAATGGACGCGCCTAGCGAGGCCTCCATCGATGCTTCGCTACAGCGATTGGTAGGTATGCACGCACTTGCTAAGAGCAAAAGAAGGGCCAACGTCTGACGCTGCTGGGGTGGCATTTGGCGCACATTTGCTCAAGCGGCGTATCCATACAGATGGCGAAGTTCCTTCTTTGGGGGCACATGTTTGGCTGTTATGACGCTACGTTGAAGACTTCGTGCGCGCTGAGCGGTTATCGGGATCCATTTGACAGTTCCCTTGGCATGTCGAAGGGCGATAAACAACTGGTGGCTGCTGCCAAGAGGGCGTTTACTCGCAATGGATCGCCACCAGAGCTTACTTTGCAGAGCGATCATTTCGTACTCTGTAAGGCGTTCGAGGCGTACCTCGACGTGCGCTCTTCATGCAAGACAAAGAGATTATTTTGTGCTGAGAATAGGTTGAATCTGCAGACTTTGGGTCAACTCGGTGCGATCTACAAGAAGTTGCAGCAAGATCTGGTCAAGATGGGATTGTCGGCCGCAACTCAGCTTGTGCCGACCTCCCCGCCAACAACACCAGCAACTATGGAGAGCATCGCACCGTATTTGATGGCCCTCAGTATCGGTATGTACCCGAATGCGCTGTCCACGCGTCCTAGTCGAGTGACGGAGTTTTGGCAGACGAAAGAGAAAGTAAAAGTTACGATGAGTGCTACATCTATGGTGACGTTGTCCAGTGCTGGCCTGCATTCAAAGTGGAAAAAGCGTAAACGTGAGCAGGAGGAGCTTAGTGTGCACGAATGGCTGGTGTATCACGATATGATGCAATCTGGAAGTACTCGTGTGGCAAAGTACGGTACCAGACTGCCGTCAGTTTTGCTGCAAGCGCTTTTCATGGGATCGGTAAAAACGCAGGTGGTAGAGGAACGTAAAACTGTCGTGAAGGGCAGTGGTACCGATGGCGAGTCAGTGGCGTCGAGCACGTGGTTACTTGCCTTGGACGATTGGATCACTTTCGAGGCCAACGGTGCTACTGAAGTGCGCTGGCTCGCACTTTTGCGGGAACGCTTGCATGCTGCATTTGTTCGTCACTTGGAGCGACTGCTAGTGCGTCCGAAAGCAGGTGAGACCAATGCGTTGCCAAAGCGTGGTCAGCAGCTAAGGAAGCATGACGTAGCGCTTGTCCGGGCTTTAGTTGCCTGGGTCTCTTCTGATCTACGTGGTAAGGTGAGCGTAAGCTGCAAACGGTAGACAGACATCTGCGGCAAAAAGGATCCTTCTGCGAGGATATCTAGAGCTCGATCCCATTTGGCGGTTCCATCGACGACCTTAATGCTGGAAAGAAAATATTGGAGCTGGCAACTGGATTTGTGTGTGCGACCATTCCGATGACCGTGACGCTCGAAGCAGTATTCCTTCATGTTTATCTGCCCGAGGTAACATTGTTGTTGTTGAACGTTGCATGTTAAGGTGGTAATCGTTCACAGTGACATCTAAATCAATGTCAATATGACGAAGCCGCCCTGTTACAGTACCCATCAGGCGGTGTTCAAGAGCAGCAGTGCTTTCTCTTTTCTGTTACAGGTCCGCAGGTTCGGGTTACACCCAATCGGGCTGAGACACGCGATGATGCGTGTATGAGGGGGGTACGTGCACACAGTGTTTCCTCCGATGAGTTGTCCTTTACTAAGTTTTGAGGTCCGACAGGTCATTATTGACGAGGTGTTCACAGAGACCGCTCTGGGGACCGATGTTATAGCCAGTAGAAGAAAAATCTACGATCTAGCAGAAGGCTAATCTACAATGTACTCGTTGCAGCGTAAGAGGATGCGTGTCAACAAGCACCATCGTCATGGATAACACGATCGATGGGAAGGAAGCTACTTGAATCACGAGCCAAGGGTGAACCGGGTGACGCGGTCCGTTACACATACCAAAGTGAAGGTCGCTAAGGACGTGAAGCAGTGTAATGACTTTCATGAGGGTATATCAGGCAGGAATGAGGGACCCCATGGCTGAAGCACCTAAATGGTGGTAGGGATCTCGGCCTGGCATGTACCGATCAGCACATGGCCATAGGTCGGCTGACGTCGTGATGTAGCTGACCTCCATGTGATCGTCACAATCGATCGCATTCGACAGATCAACGGAGCTATTGCCGCTTGGATGCGAAGATGACGCCGAAATGCATCAATAAGATCGTGGTCATCTTAAATGATGCAAGAGGCTGAGCTTCGATACTCTGTCAGCATTGTGCTTAGCTGTCTGCAGCTTCTACTAAGTTTGTGCCCTATGAGTAAAGTAGGGGATAGAATGAAGCACTTTACGGCATTTATTAACGGTAGTGTGAATGGTCCGTATTTTTGTGGTTGTTTACGCCTTGTGCTGCGTGGTTCGAGCTCGATCAAGTGGTGAGGTTCCACATGGTTGCTCCGGTCAGCTGCTTGACCGGATGATTTGACTTGATGCATCCAGTGCATCTTACACAATGATCCCATAAGCTGTAAACATCTTGGGATCAGTGCGATTTTCGCCCACTAAAAGCAAGACTTATCGGAAGGGGCACAGCACTCTGAACACTGACCAGTAACGACACAAAAACACTCTGTTGGATCTGTTGGATGGAACTGGCTTGTCCAAAAACACGATGCATTTAGCGTGTGTAGCCATGTATGCTGCCTCAATCTGTCTCATTCGGCCGCGACTGCGCAAGCATATCCGTCAACAGCTTTGTGATCGTCAGCAATTGCATTTCCTGGCGACTCAGCTGCACTTGGAGCTGAAGCTATGTTGCAAGCATGACCGGGAAAAAATAGTGTAACAATGTGGCAACCCCGACAATCAGTTCAACATTAGGCGACCAACCTGCGTGGTAGTGAGCCGGTTAACTTGTTCTTGAAGGCGTATGATTGGAAGAGCAGGGGACGAAAACGGAGAGGGCTCGTGAGGCGTTGGTAGCGCCGACGCCGGAAATGAAATCGTATGTGTTGTCCCTGGCGATTCCAAGTCTTCTCCCGATGAATACAATTGCAAAAACGTCAGCCTATCTGGCGCACAGTTTGGCCTGTCTCGGTTGGCTCCAAGCGTACCTGTAAACGCCGAGCTACTGAACGCCCTTGTCAGCGACATTTGGATCGACTCTTCCATCGCTTGCTCGCTCTTCTTTTCCTGTTTCTTCAGCATAACTTCGATAAAGCCACTTCCGAGGATAGCACCTGAAACGACAAATGACATCACGTCTCATGAGACCATCCCTGTCACAAATTGAGCACTGAATATCTCACCAGGTATTGTGAACAAAATGATGCCCCAGAGCGCGAGTAGAGACGAGAAAGCTCGACCCGCAGCAGTGATAGGCACGATGTCGCCATATCCTAAAGACGTGATGGTCTCGATGGCCCACCAAGAGCACGTACCGATGCTCGAGAACACCTTGGGCTGAGCTGGATTTTCAAGGAAAAAGCTACAGAAAATCGACACCGGCACGTGTCCATCATAAGCATCATGCTCGCTTTCGAAAGCGACCTCGTGAACTGCTTACATGGTGGTAGATGAAGTCAACACAATGACAATGGTGAGGTAGCTGACAACGCCAAGCTCTTGTTTCTTCAGCGCGAAAATCTCACGTAAATCTTTCATCGCCTGGTAGGAGCGTTCGAGGTGCAAGAAGGACATGATACGCAAGAGCCGAAAGCCTCGCAGTGTCAAGACACCACGCGACGACACTGCTCCCCTGCGCGGTCACCACATTGAACAGCACCACACGCCCACACACACAACCGTGAGCTCTACCCCTTGTCTCGTCTTGCCATCACGCTATCTCCACGTACTGATGCTCGAGCAAAATCTCCAGATAAAATGGAATGAGCACCACGAGGTCGATGATCGACATTGGCCGACTCATCCACTTGAGCCTACAACGACACTGTCAGTATCGCAGAGACGGCAGCAAACACACATGTGGCTCTTTTCCCTTTCCGTACCTGCCGCACACTGGATGCGTATACCGGTCGTCCTCAACACACGACCAGAGACGGAGCATGTACTCGACCGTGAATAGCCCCGTCGACACGTACAGAAAAAGCACGTACCAATCGGACGACGTCACTGTTTTGTAGCACAACGAGTCCGTCCGTCAGTCGTCAGTCGTACGCATCGACGCATCGCATTGTCTCCACGTCTCCTATTGTTCTGCTACGTCTGCTGCTCGAGGAGCTCCACGTGCGTACGTGACCAGTCAACGTACTCGCAGGGCCGAGCGGAGACGCCGACACGTACATGGCCAGCGCAACATTCAGTGTGATCAGTACCAGTACGCCGATTTCCAAGAGGTACGACGCGCGGTGCAGTCCCGAGCGCTCTTTGAGCGACGTGCGGTAGTGCAGCAGCGTCCAGACGTCGCTACGTAGCGACGCGTAGGCGCGAGGACAGCTGCCGCGTCGCGTGGGCGAACGGACTGTTGTGGTCACGAATGCAGTCCGCAGGCCGCGTGGTCCGTCCTCGTCGTCGCTGTCCTTCGCGAGGAGACACTGCCGCTCGTGCGCGTCCATGGGGTCCGTCTGGCTTTCGTGTGGGGAATGAATTCTGAGTCGGGAATGACCGACGGTCGGAACCAGAGCGAAGACGATCGACGGTGTGTGTATTTCTTCGTTCAGTCTGTGTGCCTGTGTGGCACGATTTGGTCCCACGCTATGACTCAGGTTTGGCTCATGTAGCTATGCAGCTTTTTGCGCACGGGTTGCAAACGGGGCGACGAGCGACGGTCGGAAGCGGACAGAAGCTCGGCGCAATTTCGAACCCACAGCGAGTTCATGCTGGACCAGAGCAAAATTCGAGCTTTCTCCATATTACAAGCCGGTCTTCTTTTTGGTAACTGTCAGGCTGATGCAGCGAGGTTTTTTTTACACAGACGGCAACAGTCAGGACAAGAAAGATCGGTTGTTCACATTTGTAGGCGAAATCACGCTTCGACACTAGTCGTGCGCCCGCACGTAAGCTCAAGTGAGTGTCGCTAGGACGGCCGTTCTACATCAAGTCCGATTGTACATCTTCGCTGACGTTGATCCACAAGTGTGTTGGAAGTGGAGATGTCGTAGCGGACACTCCCTTCCTGGTCGACGTCGCCCCAGCTGCCATGTTTGGTAGTTATGATGGGTGATTTGTGTGGGTACACTAAGTTCTAGAAGGTTGTAAGTCGTTGAGCGCAGGATAGAGAAAGATCTCACTTCTAGATTGATGAAGCCGCTGAAGAGGCCCGGGCGGGGGGGCGAAACTGTAACGCGGTGAGCCCGTTACATAGAAAATGAATACGCATGCATCATTTTTTGAGTATTATCGATTCAGATAATGTTCAATTGACATTACCCGTAAGGAATAAGGTTGAAGGAATATTACCCCGAGGGTAACATTTCTATGATGGGTTGCTCCACCTGATGGTTGATATTCACGGTACATCAACCAGATTAACCACCAGTCGCTGTTGGACGCGCGATGAGTGGAGAACAAGAAACCCACATAGGAGATTGTAGTTTGCTATAGTTAGATCAAGACAAAGATGATTGATTAAAGAAACATAGCTATATAAAATACAATTCTACTTTTTCCCTTAAACAGAGCTTCTGAGTTCAGTATACTTCCTCGCGCTTCCTCACGCCACGTGTACGTGACGTCGGAAGTACGCAGCCTTGTGTTCTGTTAACACAAGGTCTTACCAGTCATCTGATACGAGCGTTCCCCGTTATACCTGGTAGCACTTTGTAGTGTGTCCAGCGACCACGACTACCTCATTTTAGATGAACATGTTGGACGAAGAGGAAAGCTATCACGCCACGCGTGAAGGCTACAACCATTTGAGTGACATCGAATGGAGTGCGGTAGGACGTATGAGCTCTACCGTAGGCGAAACAGCTATTAGCGCCATGTTGAAGTCTCGTGACAGAGACCAACAACATGCCGCTATAGCCAGGTTCATTCAAAATGAACTTGTCGCCGAAAGAGAAAAAGTAGCCTTGCTTTACCAGCAAGGCTCTCAACAGTCCAGGCAGTTGAGACGACTCAGTGCTTGACAGCAAGATCTGTTGAGACAGCAGCAATTCCATGCTGCTGTGGGTGGGACGACACACACTCGTCGTCCCGAAATCTGGAAGATTGGCATATCCAAGTACAGAGGAGCCGAGGAAGACTCCCTGTTTTTGTGGTTTGTCAAACTAGACAGAGCCATAAAGGCACGTCGTATCGACGATGAGCAAATG